TCCAATGAAGCCTTCTCGTTAAGACCTACTAAATTATTTATCCAATTGTCTACTGCCTCTACGACATTGTAGAGACTTTCTGATCAGTTTCGTTGTCTGTGGGTAGAAATGATCACCAACTATCCAGAAATTTGTCTTTGCCTAGATCTTTTGTCATAGATCTATAGTCTAGACAAAAGCAATTATATTCTTACGTTAAAGGGAATCTTTATTATTACAGATAATACTTGGCATTGATGTTAAGAAAGCAGTACAGTCAATGCAAAATAAGAGAAACTTGACTGTAAGGCATCTATGCAAAGGGACTGATTGGTATTACTTGGCTAATGATCATATGTGACTATAGCTTGAGTCTGTACTCCTTATATACCATGAAATGCTTTTTGCGGAACATCCAATTTGTTTTATAGACAAATTCAAAGGGAAAAAATCATTGTTTGGTGTGATTGGGATCTTGCATTATTTTAGTTGTTGGTTTATGTTCAGGAAAAAGTAAACAAACTAATTTAACAAACTTTCCGCATTACCCACAATCTGCTATCTTGATTCCTTGCTGCTTTTGTATACCTCTTAATGAAAGTAAAATGAGTATATTTGTCCCTGTGAACGTTAACCCCTTCGATACTATAGACGCTAGAGACTTTTAATTTAGAATATTGAATTTGGAATGTATTGTAAAGTGTCCAAATTTTCCCGATCCGAGCGTGGCAAATCGGAAAATGCATTTTTATTTGGTATTTGTGCAAAAATAATAATAATAATTAAGAATAATATATATAATAAAAAAATAATAATTTATAATAATATAAATAATATGTTAATAATAATTTATAAAAATATATATAATATAATAATATAGCAATATAATAATAATACAAAATACAATCTTCTAGGGGCGTGACAAGTCGAAATATAAATCCGGCAGCGCATGGGCCGTGAATGAGTATTCAGCAGTCGGTAGAGCCCGATCGCATCCTTCTCACTTGTTTGATATTGGTTTAACAAAACTTCTTTACAAACTTTTGCTATGACTAACAAATAAACGAAATTCTATATGACCCTGAATTCATTGAAAAGTCGCATTCAGGGTATGCTGGGTATACCTAAGTCTACGTGAAAGACGGAAGGAGCTTGAAACTATAAGTATACAAATATACATACATTTAAATAGTATCCGAGTCGATATATTTTTTGCTCTTTGTTTGCGCACTAAAAATTTGCTTCACACACATGAAATCGATTAAAATCGATATGCATTGCTTAATGCGAAAGGGCACGGCATGGATTTTAGGGTATACTCTGTTTGGGCACGCCGGCTTGAAGCAATTTGACTCGGTTTTTCTTTTCATTTCATGCTGGTGTGACTGGAAATTTAGTTGCGAGAGTCAGCCAGTCGAGCGGGGCGTGGGAGTTTTTTTTGTGTTCGTTTTCTTTTCTTGTTTTGCAGCTCCACTGTTCTGTGTGTGTGTGTGTGTGTGAGTGTATTTGTTGTTGTTGCTGTTTTTGTATAGTTTCAGGTCTATTGATTGACGCGCTCGTTTGGCTGCTGGCGATTACTCATACGCCGCGTGGCACTCGTCGAGTTGCTGCTGTTGCTTGTCGTTTGTTTGTTTGTTTGTTCGTTGTACTTGTTGCGCACATTAGTTTATTTGACAGCTGCTGCTCTTGCCGTTTCTGTCTGTTTTCGATTCCCAGGCGTTGTCTAACCGAAGCTCATCTCATTTGGCAACAACAGCGACCGCAAGCGATTCAAGTTCAGTTGGGCAGCGCACATTGCAGTTCTTTATTTTGTGGGTCAGTGGCGGTACGCCCCTGCTTGGGCGTCTCATATTTAATATATAATATTTGTTTTTTTTTTTTTTTTTTTTTTTTTTTTTTTTTTTGTGTTTGTCAAAACAAATGTCACTTGTTGTTAGCTGTTATCTGAGCAGATTCATGTTGGCTGAAAGCCTTCATTCATTCAAATATTACGCACGCACATACACACACACATACGCATACATATGTATGTCTGTACATATATGCCTTATGGCCACATAAATCATTTTCGTCATAAACATTTCTAGTCGCTCTTCCGCTTTGATCACCCTATACAGACGATCATAATGCCTATATTGTATACATAATGCCAACTCTGACATAATCAAATAATTTTACAATTTGAAAAGAAATTCCTAAAACAAAAAAAAAAAAAGCTTTTTTAGTTAGAGTACAAAAAATAAATTATTTGTTGGTTTTTTTTCTTCATTTTTTTTTAAAGTTTGCTTCTGATTAATTCCCTTTAATATGTCATATTTGAGTATGTAAACTTGAAGCTTTCGGCAACGCCCATTTGCTTATCTTCATTTAGTTAAAAATTATAGTAGGTATTGCTTGAATAAAAGCACCAGATCAAATCACTATCAATATTCGCTTAGTGGTAGTGATTCATTATTCATTACATTAAGTTCATAGAGAGAGTTAATCAAAATTGTTTGATAAACCTTAAAACTATTACAGTCAATTTAAACTCTTATCAATTCTTATCTGAAAATAGCTATGAATTATATAATAGCCAGCTTGTATTAGGCTATAGTTAGACAAATTGCAATCGATTATTATCTAATCTACGTCTATTGACAGCCAAATTTTATAAATTATCGATAGCTAGTTTGGGTTAAATTGAACACTTATATTAATATTCGTTCAAGATAAATCGATGTTAACTGGTAATTTGTAGTACGTTAGCCTTCTTATCCTAATGTTATTAAAGTTAATCGTAAATGATAATAATTCTCAGTGCATACATTTCTGTGAGTTCCAATTATCGATATACAAAGTGCATATAGTTTGGATAATCTCATCAGTCTATTATAACAGCTCCTGAAGTTTAATTGTAATCGATAATTATCAATAGATAAATCGTTTTGGCATGTAAATATCAACAGACAAATTAATTATGGCTTTTTATCGATAACTAATGACGGCCAGATCGTATAAATATATTAATAAGTAAGATAAATGCTTACTATCGAATCGAAAATTATCGTTTTGCGTTATCTTAAAACAAGTGTAGACCAATCGAAATTCCCAACGTAAAATAAATTGTGTTTGAATTCAATAGAAAAGTTTTAATCGATTACTGAATGTATAAGCATTTCAATAGCTGTAATCGATAAATGCTTCAATAGCCACAAACGATAATTGAATATATAAGCCTTTCAATAAATACATTGCATAAGATAATTGCCAAATAAATCGATAATTTTCGATCAAAATGTTGCATTTAATACTTAATTGAGGGACAACATATAAATTGGGTGTGGGGCCTCCAGGAGACAAATTCTATAAGATTAGAAATATAAGCAATAAAAAAATTGTATTTAAAATGTTGTTAAATTTTTCGTCAATGAATTGTGATTATCAAAGTTGATTTATCTAGAATAGATATAAATTAATAGCAAATTTATTAACTATATTCTGGGCATATGTATGTAAAGTTTCGATTAATTAATGAATGGCTATCGTTTAACTGTAGGCATGAACCGTTATGCGTAGACATTCCCAACGGCAGCGGCGAATCTCATCGGTCTATGACAACAGCTCATCAGCTGTTGCGATGTAATTAAATCGCCTTGGCTCTTAGGCACTCTTCCACAGCCCACCTCTCCCTCTCCCTTTCCCTCTCTCTCTCTCTTTCTGTCTACCCCTTGTCGCACTCCTCTCCTCTCTTTCGCTTGGTTCTTTTTATAACAAACTTGATCTCTTGTCTCGGCCCACTGCTGAATTGGCTGCTAGCCAAATGGCCACGTGGCTGGTCAATCAGCCAGTCAGTCAGCCAGCCAGAGCGTTCATCTAACTGTGTGTCTGTGTGTGTATTAGTTTGTGTGTCAATTTTGTTGCGGCTGTATGTATGTTTCTGCCAGGCCGCTGCAGCCAAGCCATACGCAATTTTACGCCTTAATTTATTGCAATCGATGACGACAACGCGTCGCTCACAAGAGGCTAATTGCGAATGGCGGCCACAAACAGAAACAACAAAAACAAATTGTTGTTGCCATTGTTGTTGTTGTTGTTGCTGTTGTTGTTGTGCCTTTGAGTTCGGTTTTGGCCAGCTCTGCATTATGCTATTCACATGCCTGCTGCGCGCTGTGTTTGTAAAAAGTTCATTCAACCGTTATTGTTTTGCCGTACCTTGTACCCAATGGCAAGCGGGTATGATGAGTGAACTGAACTCGATCTAGTTGTTGACTGTAGCTAACTAAGAATACAATTTGCAGCAATGTTTGCCAAGCTTCTCTGGCACAGGGTATCTTGCAGTCGATCAAAGCCCACTAGAGTATGCTGTAATGCTTCATTTGCCAATTTGCGTAGAGTGGCCAAAGGAAACAAATAAAATGAAAACAGCATAGCTTTTATGCATTAACAACAAACAACAAAAACAATGAACTCAGATCGGCTTTGCCATAGCCTGGAGCATGGATGAATATAACAATATATATATAAATATTTATATATACATAATATTTATATGTATGACACTTTGTGCGTTTGCCCATTCATTTATCCATATCGTAGACAAACTGCAGCTCTACCAGTTATCCCAGTCGCAACGAAAAACCATTCCTAAAATCCCATTTAGAGTAGTTTAATCTGGTTTTTTTATTGTAACCAAACTATATAAAAAATTGGGAAGGAAATACACAAAGCCCATTAATGACATATAATTAGAGACAGCCATGCAGGAAGTCTGCGTAAATGGCAGCCGTTAAAGGCAGGTGTCACTGTAGTGTTAGCTGGCTTACATAAGGCGCAAATGTTTCGTCAGTTATGAGAGACAGCACAACAAGTCAATACCCCTGGCCGTATATGGTTCAATTGTTGAACGGTTGAATGACTTGGAGAGTCAACGACAACGGCAACTGTCTGTTGCCGGCTATTTTAGCCATGTCCCAAAACAGGAAGCCCAATCGAAAATAGCTAACGAAACTCTTCAACCCTTTCTCTCGCTCTATCTTGCAGCTAAACAAGCCAGAGCGTGACTGAGCGAGCGAGCGTTTGCCAAAGAGACCGAGTGCAGTGTACAGCGCATCTTAATCCCGCCCGGACAGCAGTCGCCCCCTATCCCTAACACGTTCCATCGCCATGAGCAAGAAACCGACGGCCGGCCCGGCGCTCCACAAGGTCATCATGGTGGGCAGCGGCGGTGTTGGTAAATCGGCCCTCACCTTGCAGTTCATGTACGATGAGTTTGTCGAGGACTACGAGCCCACCAAGGCCGATAGCTATAGGAAAAAGGTAAACTCCATTGGCGGGGACCAACAGTTGCCGCGAAAATATTCACACCTATCTTTTCAAACCCGTTCAGGTTGTGCTCGATGGAGAGGAAGTACAAATAGATATACTAGATACAGCCGGCCAGGAGGACTACGCAGCGATCAGAGATAATTATTTTCGCAGCGGCGAGGGTTTCCTCTGCGTCTTCTCAATCACAGACGACGAAAGCTTCCAGGCCACCCAGGAATTCAGGTGAGTGTGTGTCTCGGCGAGTGTATGTCAAGTGGGCGTGTCAGCCCACAAGTGTGCCTGAACAAGTCTCACAGCAGCGCCGCAGCCAACCAAGTGCTACTGTCCCAGCAACACTTTCTAATTAGTGGCCCCAGGTCTGAAATTCAAAATCTTAAAGTCTAAAGTCATTCCTAGGCGTACGTAAAATGCAGTACAATAAAACTTGTCATTAGCATAAAGGAACAAATTAGTCGGTAGTGCCTCGCAAGTTATCGATTCTTAGCGACGATAAGGAGATGACTTAAAAAGAAAAGTATAGCTCAAACATTTAAGATTTAAGTCGGAACTGACATGTCTAGATCGACATAGCTCTTGGTCCTACTCAAGAATGTTTAGTATAATACCGATAATTCGAAATGGCAAGAGGATCAGTTTTGTTATTTTTCGATTTTCACAGTAATTCAAATAATCGAGAATTATTGAGAACGAATTTCTTTCAAGAATATAGAATTTTTTTGTTTTCGATTTATCGAGATTTTCAATTTAGTGGGGTACACATTATCCAGACTCGACTGTATATGTATGAATGTACTAGATCTACCAGATCTTCTTCTATCTAGCTACAATCATTTTCAAACACCTATCGAACGAATCCTGAACCGATTATTGATTAAACAATAGCTTATATCTATTGCAATGTCAATCGCATTGAGGATGCTCTTAAATTCCGTATTGCTCTTCATCTCTACTTGACGTCGTCAAAAGGGGGCCGTCTATGGAAATTTTAAATACATTTCACATTTAAAATAAGTTCAGGGGTTTAATTAAAAACATTGTTCACAATTCATAGCTAGACAGTTGGACATTTCTAAAATTAAGGAATTTCTTGTCATATACAACCTTTAATAGATAAGCTGCATATAAAGAATATTCCCATATTGCTTAAAGACATTCAAGATTGTCGAACTTTGTGAAAATTTGATCATAGACCGAAACTTTGCTTTGATTAAATCAGTTGAGTAACCTTTATAGAAAGTGAATGGAAGAGAGCAAAACAATTTCTTATCGGGTTTAGCTTTTCAGTTATCATTAAGCCAAATACAGTTGAGCTTTATACGCCTTATATATGCATTCATGAATCCAGTGAACTAAGCCCATAACAGATATATCTATAGCATATATCATATATAGCATATATATGTGTGAAGGGATAGTTCCTTAAGTAAGCAATTCAATTTTTCGACCTCGTCTGATTCCAAAAATTTGCATAAGTTCATATAAAACTGATCTTAATTTTGGTATAGGCGGAAATATATAAATACATACAACTTCTAATATTTAGACTCATTCTATTACTTTGGGGAGTGATAGGTGAGTATATGTTTTAGGTTTTTAGTTTAGCTTTTATGTTTCCCGTTGACCTATATAAACAAACTAAACTGCCGATAGTTTGCTCAATTTGCGCGATAGTTTGCTGTTAATCAACTTATTGCTCACTTGTTAGGCTAGGCCCATGTTTTTATGCTCCCATTAACCTCAATTCGAGCGGAGAGCCCGAGGCGGCGCATGAGAGAGCCCGAGTCTTAAGTTAGTACACACAAACAGTGGGGGCATAGAGCCCGTGGGTGCTGGCGCCTGTTAACTGACATATGACAATTATGAAGTGTGACTGGGTGTGGCTCGGCAGGCGCGATAGCTGGGCCACAAGTTGAGTATGTGGGCTGTGAGTCACGATATGGCATGGCATGGCATGGCATGGGGTGGGGTGGTGTGGTCTGGCATGGCTTGGCGAACCGTTTGATAAGCATTTTATCCGTTACTTTGGCAAATATTGTTCAACTGACGAATCTATTCCATCCCATTCCATTCTTACACGCAGAGAACAAATATTGCGGGTGAAAAATGATGAGAGCATACCGTTCCTGCTGGTGGGCAACAAATGCGATCTAAATGACAAACGGAAGGTGCCGCTCAACGAGTGCCAGGTGAGGGCGCAGCAGTGGTCCGTGCCCTACGTGGAGACCTCGGCCAAGACGCGTGAGAATGTGGACAAGGTAAGTGCGGTTAGAGCTGGCAAATGACTCTGTGAGTTTTAACTCGCGATTTGAAACGGAATATGAATCAGTCTGTATACATATATACATACATATATATGTATATGTATGTATATGTATATGGAATATTTAATGTAACAACATTTGCAGCAACATTTTTGAAGGCTCTTCAACAATTGGCTTAAACGAGAAAACCCAATGAAATGTGGGCAAATGAATATGAATTATGAATTATGAATTATGAATCATGAATGAATCAATCAGAAAGCTGAAAAATGAGACCACAGAAAACGAAATGCAAAAATTTATTGCACACATTTTATTCGTTCTTTTTCATTTGTCATTTGTTTTTATTTTCTCATATATATGTATATATAGAATATACATATATATATATGACAATTGTTATTCCTTTTGAGTTTATGTGTGTTTTTTGTATTTTGTGATTACCACACACTGTAATCAGCTGCAGCAACAACAGCAACAACAACAACTTCAAGTACTTACTCTCATATTAGTTTTCTTCTCGTCTTCTGTTACGATTCACATTTTTGTATGCTTATCTCAAGCGTTTTGCACATTGCAAATCTTTAGCCAAACAATTTTATGGCCACTTGTTGTTTTGGGCTTTTACCGTACGATACACGCACACGCACACACATACACACACGCACAGCCACACACATAGTTAGTTATCAAGAAAGCTAGTAGTACCATATCAGTGAGCATAGCAACGTTTATGCCATGAACTGTTTTTGCGTATTCAAAGCGATAATTGACAAACGAATTTGCGTAATTGGATTGCCATTGCAGCCGGATGTTTCAACGAAATTACGGCTTTAGTTATAGAATTTATATTTATTTTATAAATGTATTTATTGTTAGTAAACATTTTTCAATAATATTCTCAAAGGTTTTTTCTTTATAGGTGCAAAAAAAAACACTTAGTTTTTTTTTCAAATAGAAATCGGAATTAGAAGAGCTAAAGAATTTTAGAAATAATAAAAAATAATCAATTAAAAATATAATATTTTCTTTTTTTCACACTTAATCATTTAAGACACTTTTATTATTTAAATAATAGTTTGTCCATTTAAAAAAAATTTATAAATAAATAATAATAATCCTTTTAATATATTTAAGTTACAATAATATTTATTTATTTAATAAGTTGCAATAATATTATAAAAATTAATCATATAATTTTTATTATTTACGAACAATATTTTTTTAGAATTTCCAAACTTTTTTTTTATCAAGCTGGAATATGAAAAAAAAAAAAAATTTTATTGAATTTAAAAAAAAAAAATTGTTTAGATGTTCCAGAAAATAAATTTTAGGTTCGAAATTCATGACGTGATATTTGCCCTAAAATAGAACTTTAAAAACTTCTTCAAATAGTTTAAAATAATATAAAAAGTAATTTTTACTTTATATATACATACAGATGCATTTATGTGATTTAGTTATACTTCTTAAGCTATTATGGAACACCGTATTTGTTTAGAAATTCACAATTCCTTCAAATAAGTAGATTGAAATGAAAATTAAATACTTTGAGAAAATATTTAGAAGAAATTCGTCGAAAAAACACGTAGAGGAATATTTAGAGGTAATACTGAACAGAAGTGGTTGGAGAAAAAAACAATACTTAGAAGAAATACTTAGAAGATTTGGAAGAAATACTTAGAAGAAATTCTTAGAAGTGCTTAAAAAGAAAATTTTTAGAGGAAATATTGCTGACTAAATTTTACATTATATACTTTTATAGTATTCAATCAATATTTATTGAAAATTTTCATTTTTGACAAATTTGTGAGTTGACAGAAAATTTAAATTAAATTCATTAAATTAAATTCTAGGCGACTTATTTTAGTGCTGAGATTTTCAGGAAACATACGATTAAACAAAACTTGATATCAAAATTAACATAAGAAGTGTATTGAAAATATCGTTATCGATTAAAATCGCAGCACGCTTTACAGCAATGTTATCGCTATCGTTGTGGCTTATGGATGTTGTGTAAAGAATTGTACCAAATATTTAAATGTTTTAAATGAATTATTATTTTATGTTGTTTTTCATTTTTCGTATTGCCAGCGCATCGATGTACAATGTCTCACAAAAAATGCAATTCAATGTCCAAACATGGCACAAGAAACACATAAACGAATCAAACCTCTCAAACACTAACCCCACACACTTAAGAAAAGTTAATCACAACAACAAAAAAATCTTAATATATCTACATTTTCAATAGATATATATCTATATCTTTATATATATATATACGTACATGTATGTTTTATTCCCATCACAATTGCAGGTATTTTTTGATTTGATGCGCGAAATAAGATCACGAAAAACCGAAGATTCGAAAGCCACGAGCGGGCGTGCTAAAGATAGATGCAAGAAGCGGAGACTTAAGTGTACCCTACTTTAGGCATTAGGTGCATACGAAACAACAATTAAATATATATATATATAATTTCAATTAAACAAAACAAGCAATTATTTAAATATCTCTCTCACACACACACACACGTACACAAACACACTTTGCGTAATACCTTAATATTATAGATCCCTTAAGTACTTTTGTAGCTTGCCCTCTTTCGCTTTTGGCTTTTTGCAACACTAAAACTCCACTTTGGTTCTAACAATAACTACATTTACTTATTTTATATGATTTAGATTTAGATTTGGTATCGTTAATTAATTAATTTAATTTTTAATTTACTTTGACTTTAATCTACATATGAATAACAACATAAACCACACTAATATTAAGTAGAAAAACCTTACATATCGGTTGACCACAATATTTACTAACTCAACCAAACCACCAATCGACTCAGTGAACTAACTACCTAATGAGTCTAGCATGTTTATAATCCATATTCTATGTATTTACTAAATTGTATGCCAAGCTAAATCGGACTTTCTGAAAGTAAGATATCTTCTTGAACATCGAACTTGAGCAGAATAACAAGTTATTTTTGTTTTTAGGGTGTTTTCTTGCTTTTAGTATTAGAACTGAATTCATGGATATACATAAGTCGATATCATATTTATCGATATGTTAAACATTAAGAAATTTAAATGTGAAATGAATCTATAATATTATCTTCTTCTTAGCTTCAGAGCTAATCGATAACAAATTGATCGATAAGGGATTTGTAATGGAACAAAAATTATGTTATTTCTAATATCAATTAAGATCAAATATGATCAACATCATATATAGTCTTTTAATAGTATAGATAAACAATAAATATATCGATATCTTTTTCTCGCCATATATTGCTTTTAAAGTATAATTTAACATAGAACTTAATTACCTAAATATATAAATATATGGTTCTTTCAATGTGAAGAAATTCACAATATTTTTCGATAACAAGTTTATCGATATAGTGCTCTAGATCAAGAACCAATTACATTTGGCATAAATTTTGCTTATGTTAAGCTTTAGCATTATTCAAATTTATTCACTTAATAATAAACAATTAGTATTAAACAATTTAAGAAATGTTAGACTCATAAGGAATCTGATAAACTTATATATAAAACAATTTAGCATTCAATTTTAAAGAACATCGACTCTGCAGGCTTAACAGTTCATATGTACACACACTCACACATACATATATGTATACATATTATATATATGTGCCTTATTTTTGGTAACTTTAGCAGAATTTAATAATTGAAGTAGAGTCAAGACTGCCAACTAAATTGAGCATAGAACCAAAGCCTTAACTCAATTGAAAATCTAATATTTTTATGCTCATTCAGGACGAATGTGAGATGAGTATATTGGTTTGGTCTGTCCACTCGTCCGAGAAAAATCAGTGAGTCTGACAGCGTTTGAGCTGTAAATGAGTATTCTATAGTCGGATATGACCGACTCATTTAAATATTTGAAAATATTTAGAAAAAATTATGCTTTTGGTTTGCAGTCTTGGCAAATGTATTATAAATATGTCATTTTTGCAAAGGCATATTTCAATTCAATTTATAAAAAGTAACAAAGAACCCCGCCTAGTTATTAAGTACCATGATTTGCTTCGGTTATTCTCTTCTTCCTTTTTTTTTGTTGTTGTATTTTGCTTTAGTTTGGTTTTTATTTTGGTATTCTACTTTTCTTTCAATTTGGTTTTATGGTGTATGAAATTTTTTGCTTTCGGTTTTAGACACTTTCAAAATTTTGTAATTCTAGAACAAATTAACCCCCCCAAAACAAAAAAAAACCAAAAAAAAGAAAGTAATAATTAATAATGATAATAAACAGTTGGCAACATGTTATTAATCGTCATCATTGTGTGCTCTTCTGCAGGTATTTTTCGATCTAATCAGGGATATTTCATCACGCAAAAAACAACGTCAGATGGACGTGAAAGAGCCGGCGAAGCCTTCTCCTTGCTGCCAATTGTTGTAAAGAAAAAAAGAAAGAAATAAAGGAAAGTGAAGAGAGAACAAAAACAAAGCGAGAAACAATAGGAATCGAGCAACTGCGGCACGAACAACAGCAATCGCGGACTCACATGCAACACGACACATGGAACAACAACAATGGCCACACGGATATGCCGCAACAACAACAACAACAGCAACCAGCAACAAAATAAAAAAGTGAAATAATAATAATCAATAATAATAATGATAATAAATTGTGTTATGTTAATAATATTTAGTAACAAGCAGCAACAACAACAACAGCAGACAAAAAACTTGTATCAAAATTTTGTGCGACATTTCAACGATGATAAAAATTTACAAATAAATTATGAATGATATGTAATATACATAATTAAATCGAACTCTTCAGTTATGTTTAGGCAACAATACTACTACTAATAATAATAATAATAAAAAAGAAAAAAAACAAAGAGAGAGACAATGAAATCAAATGTTTTACAGCACAGCGCCAGCTTTTCATTTGTAATTGAACAAAATAAATAATTATTTATCAATTTAGCAAGCTGAAATAATAACAAATTTATATACAAAACTTATTCTATTTTTAATTTTATTATTATTATTTCTAATTTTTTTTTTTTTTTGTATAAAGTAATAGCAAAATGTCAAGCAAAGCAAAGGATACACACACATATATATACATACAGAAAAGCTTTTTATAAATATATATATAAATATACATATACACACACACACTCAATTTAAATACACATAATATTAGTTTAAAAATATATAATTGTAAAATGCAGCTGCAGGTTGATATCAAACTCCATCTCTAATAATGATATTACATGTACTTTAAAAACAAAAACAAAAACAAAAACGAAAACGAAAATCAATGAAAAAGCAAAACTCTTATGCAAATTTTTGTAATTTTCTAACTAGCCACAAATGCAAACAAAACTTAATCTAAAAGTTAAACTATAAAAAAAAATAAATCATAATATAAAATTAATAAATTTAGCTGCTTCAATCATTTGTTTCTTAATAATTTCGATATACAATTTTTTTTACAAAAGTTTTTTTTTTAATCTTGTTTATATTTTATTTCTTTTCGGTTTCTTGCAACTGCATTCTGTATTTTAGTCTATAAGCTATTATTATTATTATTATTCTAATTATTATTATGATTATTATTAGAATGGTAATACCTACATCTAATTATTATTAAATATATAAGTTATGCAATTTACTTGATTTTTTTCTCACTGTGCATTTTGCTATTCAATTTGCTGAACACATTCATTTTGTTCATATTTTTGTTTTTGTGTATGATAAATTATATTATAAACAGAAATCAGTAAAACGAAAAATGTTGCTATATATGCATAGATTATATGTATATAAATATATACATATGTATATATATATATATATTACGATAAGGGGCCTAGGGAGCAGCAGCAACAGCAGCCGAACATCATTTTAAGCGTTCTACTCACACACACACATACACTTCTTTTTTCTCTCACTTCTATACACAAACACTCAGTCCCTTATATATATTATATATATATCGGAATTTAAATAAGAGTAACTATTTTTTTTAACATCAATAGCAAAGCATTTTTTATAAACTATTATAATGATTATGAGTAAAACTGGATACGAAACAAAAACAACATATGTTTAGCTTGCAAATAAACAAAACTATGAAAAATAAAAGCGTTTTTTATTTATCGATAACTATTACACTTGCTGTGAATTGCTTTACCATCATAGATATCAACATACTTGACGGGTAATTTGTTGATTTAAAAATTAGCTATGAAGTTAATAGCTCTTACATCTTGAGATCTAGAATATATTGCATTTCGATTTATGTCTATTTTATACAATTTTTATATATATTTTTTTTTATTTTTTTATATTTCCTCTTCTTTTGTGGAAAAAGAACTCATACTTGAGACGAATGCTTTATGCACCGTCAGTCAAATCGTCATTCTGGCTGGAAAAAACCTCTTCTAGTACTTAAATCCATTTTGGAACCAGGAACCATACTGTATTAACTTTCAAGTCGATGCCCCTAAATATGCTCTAAATGAGCATGGCCTGCGTCCAATTCATACAATTCATACCCTTTTCAGCGACTTTTTTGTGTTTTGGCTAATGTCTCTACTTTGATATTATCGACAGTTTCTGCTAATTCCTTTAGGTATTTTAGATATTTTCCATGACCGAAGAGCATTTGTGCCAAAAAGATCGGGGATGGTTTTTGCTGTCCATCTTCCTTACACCTTCGTATGTCCATCTTGTTTTCCACGAGGCGATGGTTTGCTGCAGGGACCGCAAATAAGAGTTATGAATTTTAAAAAATTGAGGCCTTTAGGAAGCCCCAAGAAGAGAGGGAAAAACACACATAGGT